AAAATTAGATGGTTTATTCAAAGACTCACCGGGTCAACAGTTTCCACATCTCCCGTAAACGACGACCCATCACAGTATCGTAGGTAAACTATATTCCAGTTGTAGAAATCTATAATAAAAGCATTAGTTTAATTAAAAAAAGAAATCTCTATTTGGTTACTTCATAAAGTTAAGCTAAGAATTAAGATCATTAAATAGCATCTTAACAAAATTAAAATAAAACATATATAATTTGATACCTGGATTTGTGGATTGGTTTGAGCTCATTATCCCACCAAAATAGGTGCTATTGATGTTAGTGGTGGTAGAAGTACTTGGTGAAGTTCGCACTCTATTTAGGCAATCACTGGTTGAGCTACACCATCCTCCTCCCTATATATATAATTTTAAATTAAATATTAGTTACATGACTAATTACATGACTTAAAATCATATCACAATGAATTGAAAAGTTTATTATATTCAACTTGTGAGATATATTCGTAGACAATAATACTAGTATTATTATGTTAAAATTGTGTTAGTGTATAGATTAATATGAAAAGGTTGTTGGTAAAATCATTTTTAGTAACTTTGACCGAAAAAATAAATGAGTTGACTTACCATTAGTAGAAATTTTGAAAAAAATACATGGAGATCTTTAGTAACAAAATTCAAATACCATTTTCTTTAACAAATTTTGAGATTCTTATGCCAAAATTTGAATCCCATATTTTTCGTATCATTTTTTATTTTTTTTTACCAAAATCTGAATCTTATTTTTTTAGTAACAAATTTGAAGATTCTTATGCAAAAAATGTACCAATTATTTATGAAAACAAACCCAAATACAAATTAATTTAAAAATCGTGCAAATTGGATACATATTTAGAAAATGAATAGTTATATAATTCTTAACAAATTCTTCCAATCTTTTTTAATAACTTTTTCTTTAAAAAATTGTGCGCAAGTTGGATAAAACCACGTGGAATTTTTATATCAAAACAAAATTTAAATTTGGACGGGATATACATTTAAAATTGTATTCACCTTTTGGTAACAAAATCGATTTATCTTTGACATTTAAAATCAAACTTTATCCAATTATTTAGGAAAGAAATTCAAATCAAATCGTTTGCAACTTTTTAAAATTTTAATGCAACGATTTTTTTGGATTCTTATGTGTTTTCTTAACCATGTTTACCGAGAATTTGGTAAGTTCATATCAATTTTTTTGTAAAGTTCATATCATTTTTTTTTAATCAGTAACTAATAATACATAATTTTAGATAAAATTCGAACACTCATGTAGTATTTTGCTTTCCAAATAATCAAACTAAGAACGTTATATATAAGAAATTGTTCAATAATATATAAATTTTATTTTAATGAAATCTTTAATGTCATGAGACAATCTAAATACAAACTACATTTTAAAATAAAATAGATAATAAATGCTTCCGTATATCGCACATGTACTGTACTAATAACTTATAATAATAATAATAAATAAGGGTGCATCGGATTCTAAAGTGGGTTAATTATATGTGATATGTACATCAATTATTGAAAAATAGTTTGATTGCAGTGAAGTTATGGGGGATCACTTTCCATCACTTGCCAATATAGCGCATATCCCTTTCTTCATTTATTAACAAAATGAAATGCACTATTGTTATAGTACTTATGGCGTGTTTGATATTATTAATTATATTGATAACATTGATGATAGTTGAGTTGGATTAAAGTTGAGTTAAACTTTGAATATGAATTGGAAAATTTTCAAAACAAACACCCTCTTAGTCAGTCTCTCTAGATCTCTCTCGCACATGCACATATATGATTAAAGTTGATTTGATGTAAACGTATGAGAGAAGTTATTGGAAGTGATGGATAGTTGAACTTATGTGAGCAGATTATAGTGAATTAAAGTTGATGTAATGTGCAAGGATGATTGATTGATATTATTTAACTATATTGATACAATGTAGGAGGGTTGAAGTTAGGTTAAATTTGAATTCAATTTTAGTTGTGATTGAAAAGATCCAATTACAATTTATACCCAACACCACCTTAGAGAGTGATTTGTGATTTGGATATAAGTTATTTTGTTTTTTATTGAGATTGTTGGATAACCAGAGTTAATTTAAAAAGTTGATTGATATAGGTTTGGGTGAGTTTTTGAGTTTGTATTAAAATAATATTTAAAATATAATAAATAAAGTTAATTGGATGTAAAGGTATGAGATAAAAGTGATGAGTAGTTTAAATTATGTGAGTGAATGAATAATGAATCAAAGTTGATGTGATGTGTAAGGATGATTGATCATTGATATTATTTAATTATATTGATAATATTGAGGAGAGTTGAATTGAGTTATATTTGAATTAGATTTTAAGTTAAAAAAAATATCTTGTCAAAGTGATCAGATAATCTGTATCCAATAAGGGCCTTAGTGTCATTGTCTAATGTGTATGAGCTTGTTTAGAAACAATTCTCAAATGGACTTTTGATTCTTGTTTGGTGATAAATTTTAAATTTTATTTATGAATAAATTGATCCTCCAAAAAATCATTAAATAGAAGTAAAAAAGGAAGACTTTTGTCGAAATCCAATTCGCATAAGTCAGTTTTGATAAAATCAATTTTCTAGAAAATATGGACTTGAAGTGGTCCTAATTTAAGGAATTAGGTATTCGACTAATCTTTGCCTGCTTCTTTTCAAACAGAGACCTCATTGGACTCCTTGATTTGAAATGCTTATCAATACATTGACATGTTACGAACATTTGTTTATCACTAGCCCGAAATTTTGGGCAACTGAATTTAACTAATGATATACAATTTTTCATTTACTATGACAATTTTTGAATGTCGCTCTGCTATTGTGTTGAATTTAGGCAATTGAATTGACTAATGATGCACACCTATACTAAAATATCATCAGGTATAATTACTTGCACAATAAAATTAATTAATTATATATATTATTTACTTTCTAATGCTATAATATCACTATTAATATCACACTTCTAAAATTATCATTATGTACGAGTAAAATAAAACTATACATAGTTTTAGCAGCGTTCTAGTTTCATATTATATGAAACTTTGTTCATATTTGATCAATTTCTGAAAATGGTTAAATTATTAAATGCCATGCAACATCAATATGTATCTATATACACATTCGTTGCACCATCACATTGCTAATATAATATTACAGTATTAAAATAGTATCATAAGGTATATATGTACTTTAGTGGTGTTATTATTTCTCACAGTTAAATACGATTCTTATTTAATCTATTATATGCATTCTCTATATACATGATCAGTGTTATTTTTGTTTATTTTGATTCTCATATGATTGGTATAAATATATATTATTATGAATGGTAAAATGAAATAATGAAACATTATTTCGTGATAAAGTGGGTTGAAAAAATCGACCGGAAGATAAATGATCCAATTATTTTTCCCGTCTCCAAATCCTTTGGAATAATGATAACCTGCCGGGCTACCATCTAAGCAAACTGCACCACCAAAAAATTAAAAATAAAAAGTAAAGAAAAAATGATAGTAAATTACAATAAGAAGAAAGAAGTACTTATCAATATGAGAGAAATTGATATATGAAGAATTTGATTATTAATTATATTTTGTGACCTGCTCCTTTAGCGACAGCATCTGAAAGGATTGTAATGTTGACCCATCCAGTAGTGACGTCACCATAGACTTGATCAATATTAAGCACTAATAGTGCCAACACTACCACTTGTAACAAGTGACTACCCACGATCTGAATGGATTTTGCCATTCTGAATTTATACATATATATACAGATAAATAGATAATTAGTACTCTTATAGTAAATAATAAGTGTTTCTCAATCAATATACATGTATAGTAAAATTGAACTCATATTTACAATTATATATTCTCGATCAAAATTGTTGAGCGAAATATCGAATTGAAATCATTAAAATTAACGAGCTGATAAAATTGTTGGCTTGTACATATTGATCGAATATTGTTTTGATTATTTTGTGTCTTTAGTTGAAGGTTTCGGTTAAATGTGGCTGCTTTTAACTTAAGCTAGTATTCTTATTTGTATTTAGGCTACGAGTATGCTTGTAGTCCTCCCAGTGCTCATGCTTTATGAGTAGTCGTTTGTATTTGAACCTTTAATTTGTTATGAGATTTTCTATCGTTTGA